TTCTGGGAGCTTCTCATTTCCAAGTCTCTGATCGATTTATTCTGGTCCCTTTCCTTGTCTTGGTTGGGTTCATCGTCGTCGGACTTTGTTAGTCCGGTCATGCTTGTCCCTTTTCCTACTTGCGAACCCACACTTGCTTTTGCTACCAGAATCATGGGTTGTGCTAAATCCGCACCAACCAAATCAACCGGGCATACTGGATGCATCCCAGGGGCAAATTCCGCCACAAAGTCGGCAAGTGCTTGAGCCTTGATTGCGGTGCGCGGTCGGAACTTGATGTCATATTGTCCTAATTCCACAGCCCATTTCAAAATTCTTCCAGTGAAGTCTGCCTTTTCAAAAAGCACTTTAAGTGGGAACTCGGTTGACACAACTATCGTATGGGCATGAAAATAGTGTGCCAGTTTTCTTGACGCCATCATTAGGGCCAAAGCCAATTTTTCCAAGGGAAGATACCTCGTTTCGGCTGGGAGAAGAGTCTTGCTTACATAAAAGATCGGCAAGTGTTGGATGCCTTCAGCACGCACCAATACCGCGCTGACTGCATGTTGAGAGACAACCAAATAGAGGTACAACTCTTCGCCTGGCTGAGGCGTGACCAAAATAGGGGCCGAAGAGAGATATGCTTTCAGGTTTACTAGTGCGCGGTCACACTCGTCATCCCAGAAGAACTTGGACTTCAGAGTTTTAAAGAAGGGCCTGCAACGATCAGAAGACCGGCTGATAAATCTGTTCAACGCAGCTGCCATCCCGGCAAGATGTTGCACGTCCTTCGTGGAGTTGGGACGCTCTAGGTCTTGTATGGCCTTGATCTGTGATGGGTCAGCTTTAATCCCTCGATTTGTGACCAGAAAACCCAAAAACTTTCCGGTGCCAACTCCGAAGACGCACTTTGTGGCGTTCAAGTGAAGCTTGTAGAGCTTAAGTATGGCGAACATCTCTGCAAGGTCGGCGAGGTGTTGAGACTTCTCCTTACTCTTCACCACCATGTCATCGATATAGGCCTCCATTGTTCGGCCCAGAAGAGGAGCGAACATCTTCGTTACCATCCTCTGAAAAGTTGCCCCGACGTTCTTTAGTCCAAACGGCATGACTTTGTAGCAATAGAAGCCTCTGGGGGTTGTGAACGACGTGATCTCTCTGTCCGGTTTATACATGGCTATCTGGTGGTAGCCGCGATATGCGTCCAGGAAGTTAAACCTCTGATGGCCAGCGGTTAAGTCCACCAGCTGGTCAATTCGTGGGAGGGGAAAGCTATCCTTGGGGCAAGCTCGGTTGACAGTCTTGTAATCAACGCAGACTCGCCACTTGCCGTTCTTCTTCGGGACAACCACCGTGTCGGATATCCACCGGGGGTACTGCACCTCCTCTATGGCACCAGCTTCCAACAAATTTTTCACTTCTTCTGCGATCACTTCAGCATGGCGTAAGGCTGAGCGGCGCGTCCTTTGAATGACTGACCGTGCATTAGGGAAGACATTCAACTGATGACAAATGAAGCTCGGGTCGACACCGGGCATCTTGTAAGGCGTCTAGGCAAAGGCCTCCAAATTGGAAATCAAGAAGTTTACATAATCCATCCGCTCGGCGCTAGACAAGGATGATCCCAAGAGGAAGAACTTAGTGGGATCGTTCTCGTCAATTCGCACTTTTACCAAATCTTCGACTGACTTTTCCTCGACCTTTCTTCCTACGTCTTCAAAGACTTCTTTACCTTCGGGCCCTTCAATCATTTGGACGAACCCTTTGGCAGCTCGGCTGCCATTTACCATAACGAAGCATTGTTTCGCCATCACCTGGTCCCCCCAAACTTCCTCTATTTGTCCGCTCGGTGCCGGAAAGCGCATGACTTGGTGGAAGGTCGAAGCAACTGCTTGCATGGCGTGCAGCCAACCCCTCCCTAAGATCAAGTTATAAGTTGATGAAACTTTAAGCACCCAGAATTCTACTTGCTTTACGATCGATCCCGCTTTGACGGGCAAAATAATCTTTCCCATTGGCCATTCTGGCTATGAGTTGAAGCCGACCAAAGGGGACGTTGCGGAGGCCAAGTCCTTGTCTTCTAACTTCATTTGTTTAAATGCGTCATAATACATAATTTCTACCGAACTCCCCTGGTCGATCAAGATTCTCTTGATATCAAAGTCCTTGACGTGAAGAGTGACTACTAAGGCATCATTGTGCGGCATCTGAACTCTTTCCAAGTCCTTGGTTGAGAATGAAAGGATGTCCCTTTCTTCGGTCTTTCCTTTCTTCACAGCGGGCTGAACAGAGAGCACTTCCCTCATGTGCTTGGCCTTCTTGATCATCCCCCTTAGCTCGCAAACCCTGGCCAGTTCAATGATTCCGTGGATGACGTTGATTACACCTTGCGGGGGCGCTTCTAGGGCGGCCAGGCCATTTGGCTCGACTTGGTCTGCTGGCGTGGCCTTGATGCCCCCATCTATGTATTGGTCAAGATGCCCTGCCGCCACCAACTCCTCTAAGTGTTGTTTGAGCGGCAAGCAGTCCTCTGTGCGGTGCCCCCGTTCTTCATGAAAGGTGCAGCGATATTTTGAATTGAAGCCCCTCTGTGCGCTCCCCAACTTGGCCGGCCAACGAACGAAGGGTTCACCTCGGATCTCGCTCAAACTACGGTAGATGGGGATTTTAAATACTGTGGTGATCCCAGTCCGTGCCTTCAATTTTCTTTTGGCATCGTCCTCCGCATCACGGGGAGGGTCAGCCCGGTCGTTTCGGCGGCCCTTGTTTCTGTCATCACGGTTTGGATCATGGCACTGGTCTTTCGACCAGTTGTTTGGGCGGTTATCCTCCTGCCCAACCGAGTGAACTTTCCCCGTAACCCTCCTGTCCGCCGCGACCGGATTAACCTTCTCGGTCGCGGAGGCGGCATCATCCTCCACACGAATGTGCTCATTGATCCGCTGCATCAATGACTCCATGGTTGTAGGTTGATGCATCGTGAGTGAATCTCGCAGCCTATGTCCGACTGGGAGACCCCGTTTGTACTGAGTGATCGCCAGATTGGTGGGGTAGTCGAGGATCTCATTGTAAGTTTCCCAGTATTTCGCATTGTATGCCTTCAACGAACACCCAGACTCCATCTTGACGCCCAGGAGATGGTTGACCTCCTTCGGTGTTCGTGTGTTGGTTTTGAATCTGGTGACGAAGGCTTCCACTAGTTGCTGCCACCCCTCAATACTCCACTCCGGGAGCCTCTCGAACCATTTCAAACCCAGCTCTTCCAAGCTTGCTGGGAATATAAGGCACATCAAGACGTCATTCCGTCGGTGTCCAGCCATTACTTGCCGATAATGGCTCACATGCATATATGGATCCGTCCTTCCATCGTACAAAGTGAACTTTGGCTGGTGGAATCTGGCGGGGAGTGGCGTACTCTCAATCTCTAGAGACAGCGGCGTGGCTGTAAGTCGCGCCAGCTCTTTGTCCACTAGCGCAGGGGCCATCACTTTGGGGGCTGGCATCGCCACTTCCTCACTGTAACGCACTGGAGCGCTTAACCTCTGCAATGCCGGCACTCTCCGAGCTTCCCGACAGCGCGCCCTCTCTTCCAATACATCTCTCAAGTCCCTGGAACGTGTGGAGAAAGAGGATCCCGCCGTCGGCGTCGGGCGTGAGGGGCGGTATGTGTTGTCGCGAGAGAGGGACCTGCCCTTCCCTTGGTTGGAGCCCCCAACCCCATAGTTCCTGGTGATGGAGAGAGAGTAGGTCCTCTCCTGGCGGCGACTGCTACAACGAGGGGACGGGATGCGCTCACTGAGGTTGCCCTCTCCAGCAATACCCTTCCCTTCAATCTGGCGTTTCAGCAGCTCCATCTCCGCCGCCATCTTGTGAATGACGGCGTCCTGGTCCTTGAGTTTGTGCTCCAGGCGCTGCGCATGGGACTCCCCCAGGCGTCTGCGGCCCCCAAGACTCTGCGAGCGATCAGCACTCCTTCCGCGTTTGTCTCGCGCACTTCGCGAAGGAGTCTCTAGGCCCGCCATGGCTGGAATATTCAGAGGACCTTCTCTCAAGCGGACGTACTCAGGTGTGACGCCATCGACGACGGACAGTGGGGCTTCGCCGTTGTTGGCCATGGAAATGGTCGAAGAAGCTCTGAGAACAAGTGTTGAGTATCAAAAAACTTCCCACAGACGGCGCCAATTGTACGGGGGCAAAATATCCTCTGTTTTCCGTACTCCTTGTACTCTGAGCTTCTCTTGACGGCGTCTACCTGGCAACACAAAAACGGTGAGCTGCCCGGCGGTGGTGTGCCGGATAGACCCTCCGACGATCAAGTCAGTTCACTTGAGGAAGAGGAAGAAGACTGAGAGAGAGAGTGTTCTCTTTTTGGAAGAAATTGCATACCTCTAACGTTCGCCCTCCTCCCTATTTCAAGGCTGGCCATGCAGCCTCAAGATTATGCGCGCACTACCTCTGCTGTCCTTCCCAAGACAGGTGGCAGTACTCGCCTCTCACCACCTTACGCGTGTAAAGGCTTAGTCCTCCCAACAGTACACGCAGAACTGCCTAACGGTATTGAGGCATATGTGGAGCAGATGTCCCTTCTTTCGTGCCATTGGCCCAGGTGGCACACCTGACCGCAGTACCACGACCGGCCTATTTCCCAAGAAGAACTATCGCTACAGGCGCTCAACCGCGCTATGCCCCACCGGACTGCCCCTTGGCAAAGGGGCGGCGGGGGGGGACGCCCATGGATCGGGCTGGAGTTGACCGGTTCGTCGTGGCATACCGGTCGCGAGGCATGCCAGCCCCCGTCCGTTCTACCTTCATCCGAGATTATATTGAATCTTCCCATCTCGGCTCACCGGTCAAAGACGCGTCATCCCTCCCTTGTCCACGGTTTAGCCCGAGCTAGTCGCAGCTCGGCCAGGCTTGGTTTCCGCTCGGTCAGCTGATCCTCGAGACCGAGCAAAACAGACCCGTCTAATCCCTGCTCGGTCGTACTAAAGGTCCAAATCTCCCCTCTCACTTATCATGAATGACACTCATTCTATGGCACCATCAACACCAGTGAGTGCAAGAATAGAGAAGTACAGTAACGTACAGAGGCTTGAAGCAAGTCTAGGACATGCTCGAGCTGCAATAAGAGAAGCCTTAACAACTAATGAAGATCATCACACTCAAGACCCTGACTACACCCCTACTGGTCCTATTTATTGGAATGCCACTACCTTTCACAGGTAACCCATTTTTAACATTGCTTGTAAATCATAGTGGGATTTTTCAATTCTTTCTTTCTTTCTTTCTTTTTCTTTTTTTTGTATTAGGAAAGTTATGCTATTACTCCTTATACTTTAATCGAATTGAAGTATTACTCGTTTCTCCGTAATTTCAATTTGAACCATGCATTTAAAGTTTTGTTATAATGTAGTCTCCTTGTTATGTGCCGTTAACATTTTATACGAAAAAAATCACATGTAAAATTAAAGGAATCAAAGTGAAATTTAAAGAAACTATCGGAGTTACGCCGGTAGTCTTTATAATTTCTTTTAAATACTATTTTAGTTCCTCTAATTTTGCATGTGATCTTTTTTTAACGATAAATGGCGGATGGACCAGATCACAATAAAATTAAAAAGTATGATTCATATTATTTAAATTGAAACTCGTAAAATTTCACTCAAACAAGAGAATCAACATTGTAATTTATCCTTTCTTGTTTTTTTCATCCATAAAAGGGATAGGATGAATCTTAAACTTGTACTTTCAGAGTAAATTGCAGAAAAAAATATAAATTGGATCAAGGTCACTAGTTTCACCAATAATTGAACTGTGAAATTATAATTCTATCATAAATGTATTAAAAATTACGATAAATTACACTAATCACCATCAAAATTTTGTCCGAATTTGACTATTGTTCAACGTCTTTAATTGCGACAACTTTAACTAATGTTGATTCTCTTTTCACTTACTGTCAAAAATTTAGACAAAATGCTCACATGACCACATTTTAGGTTTATTAGAAGAAGAAATTTGTATGAAAAATTACGTTTTTACTCTCCAACTTTCACTTAAATTTCACTTTATTAGTACTTTATGTTTCAATTATCACTCAAATTTCAAACACTACAGAGTAACAGAAGTTCCACCTCCAATAACTCACAAAACACGTTTCTTCGTTTTCAAAACATTTGTTCCTTTCTTACGTAACGTAAAACAAGAAACCGACAACGTTATCAAACAAATATTTATGTTTTATTTATTTTTTCAAAATTGATAATAAAATCTCTAGAATAATTTTTAATCCAAACTGCAGGAGCTACTTGGAGATGGAAAAGCACCTCAAAGTATTTGTCTATGAAGAGGGAGACCCCCCAGTCTTCCACTATGGTCCCTGCAAGCACACATATGCAATTGAGGGACTTTTCATTCAGGGCATGGAGATTAGCAAGTTTAGGACCAGAGATTCAGAGAGAGCCCATCTTTATTTCCTTCCATTCAGTGTGACAATGATAACTCAAGTTGTTTATGTTGTTGATTCTCATGATTGGGGTCCCATGAAAAACACAGCCAAGGACTATGTTGATGTCATTGCCCACAAATATCCTTACTGGAATCGAAGCCTTGGTGCTGATCATTTCATGCTTGCTTGCCATGATTGGGTAAGTTATCACTTCTTAATTTGCTTCTATTTAATCTTCTCTTGTAACCAAAATCAACTAGTTATCCTAATTATGCACAAAAAAAAATAAAAATATGAGGCCAAAATGAATTTGGGTTATGTATTGATTTTCTTATGCACATAACATTATAGGTGGAGAGAGTATAAATAGGTTTGTAGACTTGTCTTTAACTAGTACGGTTGGCTTGGCCGAACTTGATATGAGATTAATTGTGGATATTATGAGAATATATCAAATTAAACATCTCATAAATAGGTGGAGAGAGTCAAACTTTTAACTTGATTGATTGAATTTGTTCGCTACGCTAAGAAGAGTGAGATTTTATTCACACTTGACTCAACTAACCAAATATGTGAATAAAATACATTCCTTCACTTTAAATGAGATCCGACTACTCAGTGGATATGGGCAAAGCTACACATGGAAGGGATTGATTACTGAATGCATGATTTAGTATCCAATTTGAAACAGATCAGGTGTGTAATATAGTTTAGTGGTGCATTGGTCCTTTTGGGCTGGTGTTGCTATCAGTTTTGTTTCTGTTGTTGCTGTCTTGTTGGTAGCTCACAAACTTATGAGGATTACTACTTGCAAATGATAGGGTATGCTTCCCGGTGCCAACCTAATTGGGATGGAGTTGCTTTATTGTGATGCTTTTGCACTTTCTTCTCCCTTTATTGATGTATCTCATTACTTTGTAGTTGTTTTTTCATCAATAAAATCTCTCTTTTTAGCTAATAACGAAAAAAAAGAAAAAGAGATCCATTACACTTTTAATGAGATTTATTATACTATTAGCAATGCAATGTATCTAAAAAATTTTCTAAAAAAATATCAACACAAAATATGTTTTACTGTGCAAAATAGAATCTAGACCACACTTCAACATTTTGAGTTAATTTCTTGTGTTCTCATTTTATGGCTTTTCTCTTACATAGGGGCTATAAATTCAGAATTTGTTACTTAAAATTTATCTAAAAATAACAATCAATAGTTCAAATTCATTTCACAAATCCCATAATTCACCAATTTAATCTCCACCACACAAAATAATTCTCGACAAAAATGTAGATATAAATTATAAGTTAATAGAATTTCTTTTCTCTTATACTATCTTAACCAATCAAAGAGTGTGTGTACACACCATCAAGTATAGCAAAATTATTGAATTAGGAGGCAAGTACTTGCTACTTTGTAAGGATAGGTAGACTAATTCTCATAAGTACTAATTTAACAATTAATAATTGACTTTCGTTGATAAAAAAAAGAAAAAAACGAAAAAAGTGTAACAAAATAATTTCTCTGAAGAAACCTTGGCATGGTAGTTCTGTGAAACATTTGTTCTCATCAAATAGACAACCCGAAAAACAGCGCCATGCACCACAAAAAGAGCAAATTCAGTTGATTCTTGTTCACTCTTTGGATAACCTTGTTAATTCTCGAGCATTTATTTCACTGTGTTGCATTTGCAGGGTCCGGAAATCTCCTTTGCAGTCCCAAACCTGTACAACAACTCCATTAGAGCCCTCTGCAACGCCAACACCTCCGAAAAATTTAACCCTTCCCGCGACGTCTCCATCCCCGAAATCCACCTCCCATCCGGCACCACCACCGGCATGCTCGGTGGCCCCTCCCCTTCCCACCGCCCCCTCCTCGTCTTCTACGCGGGTGGCGTCCACGGCCCCATCTGGCCCATTCTCCTCCACCACTGGCAACACCACAAAGACCCATCAATCCAAATCCACGAATATCTCCCCAAAAACACATCATATTTTGCCATGATGAGGCAGAGTAAGTTCTGCATTTGTCCCTCGGGCTACGAGGTAGCGAGTCCGAGGACAGTGGAGGTTCTTTACACAAGTTGTGTACCGGTTTTGATTAAGGATCACTATGTGATGCCTTTTAGTGATGTTTTGAATTGGAAGACTTTCGCGGTGGTGGTAGCAGTAGAGGAGATTCCGGACTTGAAGAGGATTTTGGAGGGGATTTCGGGGAGGAGGTACTTGAGGATGGTGAAGAGGGGGAGGGAGGTGAGGAGGCATTTTGAGGTTAGTTCGCCACCGAAGCGGTACGATGTTTTTCATATGATTTTGCATTCTATTTGGCTTAGGAGGCTTAATGTCAGAGTCCGTGATGTCGATGTGCCGTGAAAGGCAAGGGGTGCAGAAATGCTAGAGAGCAAGAATTTTGTCTAAAATGAATTTTGGCTATACATTATTTTATTTTTTTGATATTTTGTTGTGATTAATTTCTTAATCTTGGTGTGTGCTGTGGATTTGTTGTAGGGTGGAATGGAGGTGGTTGTGTAGGGGTATTTTGGTAAATTATGAAAATTAGTATTTTTTATTTTTTTTTCTTTTGTCTTTTATTAGTTATAGCTGAAGGATTTTGGGAAATGAAATGATTTTTTATGATTGAGTTTCTTTTGTTTCAGGATTATTGACCTGAAGTTTGTTTTTGTTTGTTTGTTTGAGCAAATTATATTATCAGTATCTATAGTTTAATTTAGAAAATGATATTAAACACAGTGGCTTGGAAAATCAATGTGGTAAGCCAGGTTGTCAATATTATTTATTTATTAAATATTTTTTAGGGGAGTACCTAGTAAATTTGTGTGTTTGGTATCTTTGTCTATATTCATTTATTTATACTTATGAATACATAACCAGTGCGTGTTTAGAGCTCGTATGCTAGCAATGTTGCAATCATGCAAAAACATATCTGTTTGGGTGTGTAAAAGGTGTGATTGTCTGTTTTCTCGATACATACATGTGTATTGGGTTCATACTCTCACTTTCTTCATGAGAATGTGTCTTCGAATTTTAAATGAGTGTAATTGTAGCAAATACATAAATGTTATAAATCATAAAAATTATCCTTAAGTCTATTTCAAAACGAGTTGTATAGTGTAAATCTAAAATTAGTAGGATGAAATGTGAGCCACACTTAAAATGATTGTAGTCAATAAATAAAAATTTCTGAATATTTTTCTGAGTTGTGTAGCATTGTCTGGACCAAATGTGATTAGGCGGAATTAACTGGCCATGTTTGGCTTTTTTTTTTTTTTTTCTTCTTTTTTTTTAAAATTATTAAAAAATTGGATTTTTTTTTTTTTGAAAAATTAGAACTAATTTGATAAAAATAAATTTCAAAAGGATATTTTTAAACTTTTAAAAATTATTTCTAACCTCTTAAAAAAATAAAAATGATAATTATTATTATTTTTTACCAAATCAAATTTTAATTTTTTTAAACAATTTTCTGAAATAAGTGTCAAATGTAATGTATGCTGTAGTTGGGCCGTGAACAACATTTCAAAAATTGAATGTTGTGGATCTTTGTTCTTGGCCCAAGCCCAAGAGCAACAACCCAATCAGAAAAAAAGATAAGCCCTACGGTCGAAAAGCTGGAGGTCTGTTCTCAGAGGCTTTTCCCAATATAAGTCTTTTTTACATTGTATTTCCAAAACTAGGCCAACTTCTGACGGATTTCCAAAACTAAGCTAAAAATTATTTCTAACCTCTTAAAAAAATAAAAATGATAATTATTATTATTTTTTACCAAATCAAATTTTAATTTTTTTAAACAATTTTCTGAAATAAGTGTCAAATGTAATGTATGCTGTAGTTGGGCCGTGAACAACATTTCAAAAATTGAATGTTGTGGATCTTTGTTCTTGGCCCAAGCCCAAGAGCAACAACCCAATCAGAAAAAAAGATAAGCCCTACGGTCGAAAAGCTGGAGGTCTGTTCTCAGAGGCTTTTCCCAATATAAGTCTTTTTTACATTGTATTTCCAAAACTAGGCCAACTTCTGACGGATTTCCAAAACTAAGCTAAAAATTATTTCTAACCTCTTAAAAAAATAAAAATGATAATTATTATTATTTTTTACCAAATCAAATTTTAATTTTTTTAAACAATTTTCTGAAATAAGTGTCAAATGTAATGTATGCTGTAGTTGGGCCGTGAACAACATTTCAAAAATTGAATGTTGTGGATCTTTGTTCTTGGCCCAAGCCCAAGAGCAACAACCCAATCAGAAAAAAAGATAAGCCCTACGGTCGAAAAGCTGGAGGTCTGTTCTCAGAGGCTTTTCCCAATATAAGTCTTTTTTACATTGTATTTCCAAAACTAGGCCAACTTCTGACGGATTTCCAAAACTAAGCTAAAAATTATTTCTAACCTCTTAAAAGAATAAAATTATATAAAAATGATAATTATTATTATTTTATACTAAATCAAATTTTAATTTTTTTAAACAATTTTCTGAAATAAGTGTCAAATGTAATGTATGCTGTAGTTGGGCCGTGAACAACATTTCAAAAATTGAATGTTGTGGATCCTTGTTCTTGGCCCAAGCCCAAGAGCAACAACCCAATCAGAAAAAAAGATAAGCCCTACGGTCGAAAAGCTGGAGGTCTGTTCTCAGAGGCTTTTCCCAATATAAGTCTTTTTTACATTGTATTTCCAAAACTAGGCCAACTTCTGACGGATTTCCAAAACTAAGCTAAAGTGCCATTACTATTCGCGCTTTTACTGTTAGGAGGCCAAAAGTTGATGAATAGTGAAATCGCGATTTGAAATCGCGATTTTAATTAAGAAAACGCTGTTCTAAATCGCGTTTTTAACATAAAAATTTTTTTTGAAGAAAACGCTATTTAAAATAGCGCTTTTACTGTGCATATAATAATTTTTTTTTTTTTTTTTAAAAACGCCATTTGAAATGGCGTTTCTACTGTTGAATCACCAACCAAAGCCAACCCACACACTGACACACACACACACCAATGGGCACACCCATAACACTCAAGCATTGAAATAATATAATTTTTATATATAATAATAATTTATAATAGTCAATTATATAATTTTTATAATTTTCGTAAATATAAATTATTTTTAGGTTATGAATAGTTTGATTTATAATACGTATGTATGTAAGGATAAAAATTTTTATAATCAAAAATAATTTTTAACGGACTTTCAAAGGTTGTGCTACAAATGCTTATAGTCCCTTAGCACGTACGGACTTTCAAAGATTGTGCTACAAATGCTTATAGTCCCCTAGCACGTACGGACTAGTGCCACAAATGCTTAAAGTCCCCTGGCACGTACGGAGTTCCCGAGAATGTCATCCAAAACAAAACTTATACTTGGCATACAAAACTTATACTTGGCACACAAAACAAGGATAATAATTCATGCTTGGTTAAATACTTTTCAAAACAAAGCAAAGCAAGGCTTATCAAAACATTATAATATAGCTTTATTAAAGATACCACTCACATAGTTCTTCAAACGCCGGGGTCAAGCGAGAGTCCAAGTCCTACAAACACATGGCAAAGTCTATTGAATGCACTTTCAAACAAGCTTTACATGAATGCAAATGATCTCGGCATTACTTCAAAACTAAGTCGAACCGAAACAAAACATTGTTTCTCATCTCGGGGAAAAGTTGCTGGGCACCAACCAGGTCTTGGCCGAGGTCCCACACCTACTTGCCGAGGTGTGGCCCCGATGGCCACATTCAAGGAAATGAAGTCGGGAAAAATCTGGGTTTTCCTTCCTTGAAGAACATGAAGAACATGGATGCAAAGATCATAACTTATCATTACAAAATCTAAGATTTCATGCTATGAATTCAAAAACATGGACTTGGGTACCCATACTCGAAGATTTTATGAAAACAAACACAAAAACATGAATCTTAATGCCAACTTGAATTCAAAAACATGGACCTGGGTACCCATACTCGAAGATTTTATGAAAACAAACACAAAAACATGAATCTTAATGCCAACTTTCGGATCAAACAAGGCTTTTTCTTCAAGAAGACATGAATACCACTTTCTCTTTCTAAACCCAACTTTAACTCGATACATGGCTAGCAAATCAGGTTTGATCATGCAATGCAGCTAGATGATCAATAAGAACAACAAGAGTAGATTAAGATTCTAACCTCAAAACTCGAATCTAACGGTTCAAGCACCCAAAGATCAAGCTTGGAAATCTATTCCCTCTCTAAGAACTCCTTTTCCCTCTTCTAGAGCTTCTCTCTCCTCAAGAACCAAGACATATAACAAATGATACATTTCACTCTCTGCGGGCTGATTTAATACTCAGCTCGGACACTTGGCAACGGTTGGTTGGCTCTCCTTAAAAAGGTGATTGAAAGACAAGACAAGGCTATGACAAAGCGTGTTCAACAAGCTAGATAGCAAGGGTACTCCAGCAAGTAACAATCTCGGCTAAGGACAGAGCTTCGGCAAGTACAATGATCTTAGCTAAGAAGGACAACACTTGACTTGGCTGTGCCACACCTCGGCCAAGATGTGTCACACCTCGCTCTAGGTCATACCAATCCAGGGACAAGATCACTAGGTGCAGGGATAACATTTTGGCCTAGATAATACACATCTCGGCCTTGGTGATGAACACCCTGGCCTAGATAATGACATCTCAGCCAATATGCCAGGGTGAAGGTGAAGGTCAGCCAAGGTGATCCCAAGATGGTCCTAGGCATAAGAGGCTCAAAGATGACCTAGGCTTAGGATGACCTCGGCTACACACGCCAAGCAACAAACAAAGCAAAGCAAACAACACTTAAGCAAAACAAGACAAGATTCGAAATGCAAGTTTAACAAAACGAAAACATATAATTGCATGTGAGCATGACCAAAATGGAGTGAGGGTTGTTACAAGGTGTTTCTGAATCAGTGTCGAAGATATATAGTTATGGCATGAATCCAAGGCAAGGAAAAGAGAGCTGAGGAGGCAGCTGTGAGTGTAGTTGTTTCTGAGCCTAGTAGTAGTGATGCAAACAGAGAGAGAAGAAGAACATATTACCAAGAACAAACTAAGATGGAGGAGGAGTCGGCAACATATACAAGAGAGGGCAAGGAGGCGGCGAAGGAGAAGACTAGCAGTGTTGCTGATACTGTAGCCAAGAAAGCTAGAGAGTGTAAGGATTTGGCACTGGGAAAGGCGATTAAAGATTATGTAGCAGAGAAAGTGAGAGAAGCGAATGACTCGGCATTGGAGAAAGATGGAGAGTACAAAGATTATGCAGCAGCCGAGAAGGCGAAGGAGATGAAGGCAGTGACAATGGAGAAGGCAAGAGAGGGAAAAGACAGTGTTGTTAGGAAGATTTCAGAGTTGAAGGAGTTGGCGGTTGACGCGACGAAAAGGGCCATGGACTTGTTGAGTGTGAAGAGCAAGGAAGAGGCAATGGTTAGTCGTCTCTGATTGATTTCTGTGAGCGTTTAAGGTGCGTGTAAGCTGACCCGAGTAAAAAAAAATAACAATGCTGCAGAAGTTTATATGGTTCTTGGTTTTGTTCATTTATGTTTATGATGTTCTAAGCTCTTTTTTGTGTGGCTTTAACTTTAATCCAATGAAGTTTAACTAAAAATTTCAAGAATCTTCAACATAAATCAAGTACGATGTTATGGAGAAAAATTAAAATTGAAATGTTTAAATCAAACTTTTAAACATTTCAATTTTAAGTCACCGAAGCAACACTTCACTCAATGTTAATTGATTTTAAATTTTAATAATTTTAAATAATAGTATGCGAATATATAATTGGAACTTTGTGTTATGTTTTGTGGTTTTGGGTTTAAGCTTTGGCATGCTCTTTAACTATTTTCTTTTATATACAATGAGAGGGTAATTTATATGGAAATTGGGCCGAGCTGGGTAATGGGTCGTTATGGGCCACAGTGCGAAGGGCCGAGTAAAAAGGCCATGAAGTTACTCCGGCCCAAGAGAGGTGTAAAGCTACTCCGGCCCAAGAGAGGTGTAAAATTACTCCGGTCCCAAGGAGGTTAGCTCGGTCACCATACTAAAACTTATACCGGTTATGGCGCAGTATGGTTAGCTCAGTCTAAACCTTGCTAAAAGTTTGCTCAGTTTAGACTTACCACGGTTTGTACAGGACGAACTGAGGTAAGGGCAGTAAAAGGACGAATCGAACTAAGGATAGTTCGGTCTGTTCTACGGCTAAGCATAACCATGCGTACCTCGGCCACATTGGAGTCCGACCATGGTAAAATCATCTCACTTGGTTTAAACAGTGAGGGGAGTGTTGAAGGATAGGCATTATCTTTCAGGAATGTGATTCCTAGGAGAACTCTACATGGAGGAGTAAGAGTCTTACTAGGATTGTGCCACGCGAAACCTATAAAAGCTCACAACATCACCTATGGAGAGGTAACACAACTTTGATTCCTGAATACATAGAGCTTTTGTCTACTTGTCTATTTTGCTGACTTAGGCATCGGAGAGGTTTCCGGCACACACCCGCCGGCTAGCTCACGTTTGTGTTTTTAGGGAGTAAAGCGACGACGTTTGGAGGAGCGCAGACTTGATCAACAGGATTATACGAGAAGATTTATTTCTTTCCCGTACAATTGGCACCGTCTGTGGGAAAGTCAGACTAGAACGAAACCTCTTGATCAAGCTTTTCCTCTTTAGAAGCAATGGCTCACAACGAAGATTTGCCGCAGTCCGCCATCGACTGACAAACACCAAAGGGGGGTGCAAGGCGTGAAAGCCTACCTTCTATCCCTCCCATGGCAGGCTTAGAGCCACAACGACAAAATCCCAAGAGGGACACAAAGGGGAGGAGGCGGACTAACATCCCCCGTCACTCTCATTCACGAAGTCCTGATAGACAAAGGAAGAGGATTGACCCTCAAGTTCTGGAGGACCGCATGAAGGAGCAAGATGAATTAATAAGGAAGATAGCGGCGAACATGGAGGCCATGAAACGCCAGATGAAGGGAAAAGGAGTGGCGACAGGAGAGGGGCGCAAAAGCAAGACGCCCCCTCACCGCTCAGAAGACCGTGGAAGGCATTCCACACCATCACAAGCAGAGAGTAGAAGCCTCAGGATAGGCGATACTCAATCCAAAACCTCCAGAACTCGTTTCTCTAGGTCTGAGAGAACGAGATCATTGAGGTCTTACACGGAGAGAAGTACCTATCGACCCTCGCGCTCGCACCAGACATCATCCAGGCAGACAGAGTTACCAAGATCGTCCAATTTGCGGAACATGTTGGAAGAAAAGGCACGATGGAAAGAGGATATTAGGGCGCACAACCCTCACAGGGTATCTGCCCTTCAGCGGTTGGCTCCTCGGATACATGGAAGTGTCGAGGTCGGAATGCCGTTGCCACGCCCTGCCTACGAACCAACGGACAAAGCATTACCAAGGCTGAAGACCTCGCTGTTCGTTCCGGCAATTGAAAACACACCCCTTCCTTCAGGTTTCCTTCAACCCAAATTCACCACGCACGAGGGGAAGACGGACCCCTACATATACCTAAGCCACTTCTGCCAGGTTATGGCGATATATCGGCGAAACGAGGCTTTGATGTGCATCCTCTTCCCATCAAGCCTTGGTGACCTAGGCTTGATTTGGTTCGAAAAACTTTCAGAAGGCAGCATAGCCTCCTGGGCACAATTGGCGGAGGCATTCGTCACGAGGTTCAAAACGAACACCAAAACCCCGGTGGAGATTGACCAGTTACTCTCCATCGACATGGGCGAAAAGGAGACACTAAGATCCTACAATAGTCGTTACTGGGAGACATTCAACCAGATTGGGGACTGCCTCACCAATCTCGCCATTGCACAGTACAAAAGAGGCCTTCCAGTCGGAAATAGACTAAGGGACTCAATCACCATGACACCGCCCCTCACCATGGAGGCCTTGATGGAAATAGTGCATCAACACATCAAGGTGGAAGAGGATGGCGCCCGTGCCAAAACAAAATCTGGCACGACCGCAGTACCAGATAAAAAGACCACAGCAAAGATCAACGCGGTAGAACGTTTGAACAAAAACGGACGAGGCAGGCGAGACAACGGAGAGGACCGGGATAAAAGATGGTTGAGAGTCCGCACTACCATAACCACGGAATTCAAGAAACCAATCTACCAGATTCTGAGCGAAATACGCGATGAACCTTTCGTTAGATGGCCAGCTAAGCTAGGAGAAGCACAGAAAGACTACGACGAAAGATCGCGATGCATCTTCCACAAAGAAAAGGGGCGCCGCACTGAAAATTGCATGCCATTGAGACAGCATCTGGAAGAGTTGGTGGCTGCCTGTCACCTGGATAAATACATTGAAGGAGGGACGCAACCAACTCTCCAGGACCACAATAACCCTAATAGAATGCCAATCGACGCCCCACCTCAAGGTGTGATCAATGTGATACATGGAATATTCGAACCTGAACGTGTATGCGAGCTCAGAGGATCGATCAAGAAGGCTGAGCACTTAAGAGAAGTACTAAGCGCTCAACCAGCCATCAAAAAGGGGAGAACAGAGGCCACGAATGTCATGTCTTTCTCAGACAAGGACTTGGAAAGAATATATTGCCCCCACAACGATACACTGGTCGTCACCCTCCGCATCAAGGATTATGACGTCAAACGAATTCTGATAGACCAAGGCAGCTCGTGTGAGATAATGTACTACGACACCTTCAAACAACTGAAATTGGAGGACAAAGACCTGGCACCGGCTGTATCCCTCCTGATCGGATTCAACTCAATGCCAGAATGGCCAGTCGGCAAAATTATCCTACCAGTCAGGGCAGGAAGCGTGACAAAACAAGTGGAATTTTGGGTGTTGAAGGTCCCTTCCACTTACAACATAATCTTGGGAAGAACATGGCTCCATGCCATGAAATCAGTAGTGTCATCCTATCATCAAGTAATGCGGTTCCCCAGCGGAGCCGGAGTAATTGAAGAGGTATTTGGAGACCAGATTATGTCCAAGCAATGCTTTGTCACGGTTAATGGCAGCCGCGCTGCCAAGGGATATGTTCATTCAGTGGAAGAATCTGAGAGCAATGAATTGTTCGTAGATGTCGGCAAAGCAGCTGACCAAAAAGCGGTAGAAGACTTGGTAAAGGTAGGAATAGATGATAAGAACCCGGATAAGTTCTTTTTGCTCTGTTCGTCGTTGTCCAGCACTGAGAGATTAGAGGTATTGGAATTCCCGACCTCTAACATCGAAGTGTTCGCCTGGACACCATACGACATGCCAGGCATCGATCCAAACTTCATCTGTCACCAACTCAATGTCCACCCATCCGCCAGACCAATCATTCAACGCACTCGCAGATCGACACTCCACCACGTCGAAATAGTGGCGGAAGAAGTGGGAAATCTACTAGAGGCAGGAGCTATCAGAGAGATGCACTACCCCAGATGGATTTCCAACACGGTCGTGGTGCCAAAAAGAATGGCAAATGGCATGTCTGCGTCAATTATAAGACAGTCAACAAAGCATGCCCAAAGGACAATTTTCCCCTACCACGGATAGATCAACTACCATCAGATTGCCATGTACGAACCAGACCAGGAGGTCACGTCCTTTACCACTCCAAGAGGACTGTATTGCTATAAGGTCTTTCCATTTGGCCTAAAGAACACGGGGGCAACATTGCAGAGAATTGTCACTAAGATGTTTGAACCATTGTTAGGCAGAACAATGGAGGCTTACATCGACGACATGGTTGTCAAGAGCAAGGATAAGAACGACCATCTAAGGGACTTAGGTGAGATGTTCCAGATTCTAAAAAGACACAAGTTGCGCCTTAATGCATCTAAGTGCGCGTTCGGTGTAGGATCTGGCAAATTCCTGGACTTCCTAGTGACCAATCGGGGTATAGAGGCGGACCCCTCCCAGATCAAAGCTATTCAGGATCTGGAGAGACCTAACTCAGTAAAAGAAGTACAGCATCTCACCGGCATGGCAGCTGCACTCAACAGATTCATTAGCCGGTCGTTAGACAGACTACGACCATTTTTTCAAGCATTAAAAGCCAAGTTCGAGTGGGATGAAGAATGCGACCGCGCACTGGAAAACTTGAAAGAATACATGTCTTCTCCACCACTGCTTGTCACCCCAATACCTGGAGAAGAACTCTTCTTGTACCTGGCAGTCTCTCAGCACGCAATTAGCGCAGTATTGGTCCGTGCGGAAGGAATCCAACATCTGCCCATCTATTATGTCAGCAAGACATTGTTGGGCGCCGAAACGAGGTACTTGCCACCGAAAAAACTGGCCTTGGCCTTAATGATGGCCTCAAGGAAATTGTCGCACTACTTTCACGCCCACACCATAGTTGTCCTTACAGCTTTCCCATTAAAAGCTTTGTTTGAGAGGGCGAACTTTTCTGGGCGAATCTTGAAGTGGGCAGTAGAGTTGGGACAATTCGACATCAAGTTCCAACCCAGAACCGCGATAAAGGCCCAAGCTTTGGCAGACTTTGTCGCAGAATTTACCCCGGGAAGTCATCATATCTGCCCAATTGACCTGACTAACACAACCAAACTAGGGGTGGAAGTTGACACCGGAATAACACAACCCCTGGTGCAGAATACTCAGTCGGACCCCAAGGCAGACCAGAATAATGAGAGCAAGGAAAAAGCGAACCATGCTACACCCAACCAAGACTCACCAACAAATAAAGATTTGGTATAGGCAGATAACGAGGGGCAAACAGTAAGCATGGACCTTGAAGAAAACACCAGTAACATTCATGACCCCACGACATCATCTGACCCCTCCACCTGCTGGAAGTTGTTCGTTGGAGAGATGTGGAAGCTCGTCGTGGACGGAGCATCCAACCGACATGGTGCAAGACTTAGCATAGTCCTCATCTCACCAGATAGCTTGGTTGTGGAGCAAGCAATCAACCTTGGCTTCCCAGCATCAAACAATGAAGCGGAGTATGAAGCACTTCTTGCAGGACTCAAATCAGCATTCTACATGAAGGCACCGAATTAATGGTCTACAGCGACTCACAGCTGGTGGTAAACCAAATTTCTGGCGACTATGAAGCAAAGGATGACAGGATGGCCAAGTACCAAGAATTGGTCAGAACAGAGATCAAGAAATTTGAAGTAGTAAGGATAGAACAGATTGGCAGGGAGGAAAACAATAGAGCAGACGAACTAGCAGGCTTTGCGTCAATGGCAGATACATCCATCCCTCACCCACTACTAATTGACTACCTACCGAGACCAAGCATTGAAGACCCCGAAGTAGAAGAGGTATGTTGCGCCAAATTAGGCTCCTCATGGATGGATCCCATCATACTATTCTTAAAAGACGGCGTCTTATCGGAAGACAAGAAAGAAGCCAACAAAATTAGAGCAAAGTCACAGCGATTTTGGCTCTCTCTATCTATGGCATTGTACAAAAAGTCATTCTCTGGCCCTTATTTAAAGTGTGTCTACCCCAGTAAAGTGGAAGCCTTCTTGTTTGAAATACACGAAGGAGTGTGCGGAAGCCACCAAGGTGGAAGATCATTAGCCTACAGAGCCATTTCACAAGGATACTAGTGGCCATACATGCAATCAGACTCAGAGAAATATGTGAAGAAGTGCAAGAAATGCCAGAAGTTCGCACACCAAATACATCAGCCGGCCAGAGAACTCCTACCATTGACTAGCCCGTGGCTTTTCGCAATATGGGGCTTGGACATAGTAGGACCACTTCCAACGGCACCCGGTAATAGGAAATTCTTTCTTGCAGCAACAGACTACTTCACAAAGTGGGTGGAAGCAGAAGCATTAGCATCAATCAAGGAAAAAGATGTGAAGAAGTTCGTCTGGCAGAATATCGTCACTCTGCTCAGCATACCTAAAGCCCTATTATCAGACAATGGCACACAGTTCGACGGTAGAATCTTTAGAAGCTTTTGTGAAGAATACAAGATAGAGTTCTACAATTCTACACCGGCATATCCTCAAGCAAATGGCCAAGCAGAAGCATCAAACAAGGTTGTCT